TTATAAAGTAGGGAAGTAACTTTACTTTATAAAATTTATAAAGCAAGAGTTACAGCAAACCCCTACCGCCCACCACGAAAGCTGGTGGTGGGCGGTAGGGACCAGGTTGACTACCCCTGCTCTAGATAATGTGACTTCGGGCATATTTTTGTGGATGTGGACCATGGCTAACAACTAAATCCAGATTAGAAGAGGCGCCTGCTGTAGCTTGTCTTAATAACAGCTCAAGAAGGAACACTATCAGCCAAGAAATTTCTCCTGAAGACTTGCACCGACAATTTGGTTTTTTAGCACATTTGCCATTTGGGGAAATGCTTAAACGGCTACAATAAAAAGATGTCAAATGGAACCCAGACCAGGCGAAGGAAGACATCTTTCCTGGATAAAACTGTTTTTCTCTCTTATAAGTCTTTAATTCTATTATTAAGGATTCTTCTGTTGGTGTGGGTATTTGCCAAAGATGTGGGAACTGAGTAAATGGGCCTGGGAATCTGGGCTAAATATCTGAAATTGAGAATAATCCCTTCTGATGATGCATCTTGTGGCATCTATTTTGTGCACGGTAGCAGGTAACTTACCAATGGGCAAAAGCCATGAGCCACAGAGTCATTGGTATTGTAGTTTTTCCAGACCACCAAAGTATCTGGCTTCCCAATGATTTAAAAAAAAAAAACTGGGAAATCCTAAAATCTTTTCTCAGCTCTGGATACTCCCGTAATAGAGCAAGATTATAGGCAGCCCTGGATGTATGACCCACCCTCGAGCCCAAAATGTCCGTGGCTAAGCAAGACAGTGTGTTTTGCTTCATGTTACGACCTCCCTGGCTACCGTTACATGAATCTCTGCACGTAGTAACATGGCTGTAAAAAGAATATGGTTTCCCCATTGATTTTGCTGACGTCAATTAGTGGGGGGTTCAAAAATGGAGGATGGAATTTAAATTCTGCTTCCTAACTCTATAATGGCCTAAATATATTGTGCCGGATTTAGTCTCTTTTGAGCTAGTCAACTAGTTTGAGGCTAGTTATTGCATCACCCAGTTCCAGCAAGACATCAGTCAAAATTCGCATTTGCATCAGTTTCTAATAAAGGAGAATATTTGTATATTTGAAATGTGGAGGCCTTGGTGCTCTCTGAGCTTGGTGGTTTTCTTGCAGATGTTTCATTACCCAACTAGGTAACATCATCAGTGCTAGTAAGGAGTTCACTGTTAGCTTGTTTGTCTAAGTAGATGATCCCTTGATTGGGCTATTGTTTGTTTAATGGTTGGTCTGATGTTAATCTTAATCCAAGATCATTTGCATGCTCATTGCTGCTGTTTTGGTCCTTTTATTCCCTTATTGGTTTATTGATTATCTATTATTGCATAGATTAATTCCAAGATTAACACCAACACTTGATTAGGATTAACCCTAATCAAGTAAACAATAGCCCAACCAAAGAACTCCCAAGACCCCCTCCAGGCAAGATACTTAGAATGGTTCCACCACAAAACCGCGCTTGACGAAACTGCGTAGCTGACGTCATCACAGGGCGACAACAGCGCGGAGACAGAAGCATGCTGTAAACGCTAAA